GAGGCCCCGGCAGGGAGCGGCCAGCCGCGGGGCAGGCCGACCCCTTGCAACCACGCACCTGAGGCGGAGGGACTGGGGCTCCGGGCAGGGGCGCACGCTGACGCTCTCCAGAAGGGCTTTAAAGTGCGTTTAGTCGCGCCGACGTTCGTCTCTGCACAGGTCCGACCTCCCCGCTCGGGGGTGCTCCCGTTAGTTCTCCCCCCGCCACGGCACCCGTGGCCCGTCACCACAGTCCCGCGTGCTCGCCGCCCCCCCACCCCCAGCTGGACGCCTCCGACCTGTGACCTGCCGGCACGTTTGGTCTCGCCCCGGACCTCTGCTCCGTTTCTCTACACTCCACACACCGGTGAGACCGGCGGACCTTTCTCTGTCCCCTCCTGATCTGCCAGCGCCCAGCTCCATCCATCCTGCCGCACGTGGCACAGGCTCACCTTTTTGATGACCGCGTAGTATTCCACGCCGCACACAGACATCGGATTGACCGGGGAACAGCGCCGCCGCCACCCTGGCAGCACAGACACGAGTCAGGGGAGGACTGAGACCCCAGTGCACGGGTGAGGCGGAATGAGGGTTCAGTGGGCACCCCCACTGCAGCAGCGGCCAGAAAGCTGGCGTCTCCCTGCCCTTCTACCCAGCCACCCTTCCCTGCCCGCCGACACGGCACCCACAGAGGCGGGGCACCAGCTGCACGAGGACGTGAAGGCCGTCGGGAAGTGAACAGCACACGGAGCCCCCGGTGTTGCTCGTCAGGGACAGTGGGGTCCAGGAGCCCGGGAGGGGGGGCTCGGCCGGGGCCAGAAATCAGAGCTCGGGCCCCACAGCCGCCCAGCTGCCCCCTGACGGCCCGGGCCTCACACGAGATGCCTGTCCTCCCTGCGACCTCGGACGGAGACCGCTGGGGGGGTGGGGGGGTGGCGAGCGCAGCATCCTGCCCGGGCCAGGCCCGGGAGGCGGGCTCGGCTGGCGGCGCGAGCCGGCCGGACCCCAGTCCCCGGGTGCTCACGGAAAACCGTCTCTGGGGTGGAGGCAAAGCCAGCAAAGGTCAGCGGGCGGGCGTCGGAACCCAAGACGCAGGCTTCTCCAGGAAAGCGCCACTCGCTTTCGAAACAAAACGGGGTCCGTGAACCACCGCTGAATGCAGGAATCGCCAGGCGCTAACCAGAGGGGCGGCCGCACCTCATTCATTTCCTGGGCCTCAAGGGACAGGGAGAGCCGC